GCCACCCCGTCTTCAACGATCCACTGTTTCTGCTTCTTAGGGCTTGCAGTTACTTCCGTGTGCTGACGACGCAGACTTCAGTTCCACATTGTTAACAGATGGACGTATGTCGTGGCCGAGTGGGCACACAGGTACATCTTGCTGCGTGTACGTCTACTTGTCATGTTGGTTCTATTTGCGGCTGGTGCCTTATAAGAGATTGGGTTTCTGGAAGTTTGCTGTGCCGTTGGTGATTGTGTTGTTCCCACTGTTTGTCGGGATAACCCGTGTGTTGGACTACCGGCACCATTGGACGGATGTGTTGACGGGGGGGATAATCGGGTCGGTGATTGGTTATCTGTCTTTCCGGTTCTACTACAAGTTGGAGATGCCGCCGATTTTTAGTCAGCCCAAAATCTGTGTACCAGTGGGTCATCACGAGCATGATGGGGACAAGGTAACATCGCCGGGCTTCCACGACGGACGGAATTCGGTGGGGAATACTACAGGAGACACAGGTGCCGGAGAATCCGTAGTCGTGCCCATCCGTTCTGCCGCCACCGGCACCCCTCGAGTGAGCAAGACGCCCGACACACCCTTGCTCAACGATCCCAACGCACAATATGATGCACACCTCACACAGTCTGCCGAAACACACGCTATCAACGCTGGACACAAACGCATCAACACTGCTGAAGACTTCCAGTCCCCCAGTCCCCGACGAGTCACCGTCGCCAACGACTTCTCCGACCGCATCCTCGAGGACGGCAGCAGACTCCGACGCGCCACCGAAGGCGCACCACCCACTGCCGATCTCACACCCAGTCGCGAAGCACTCCTCAGACATGATGATTCCTCGTAGGATAATTAACCGCGGCCAAGAAGCTGACTGACTCCTAAACCAACTGGCTGGCCCATGAACTAGCTCGCTGGCTGGCGGATGAAATGGGGGCTGGTTGGCGGATGAAATGGGGGCTGGTTGGCGGATGAAATGGGGGCTGGTTGGCGGATGAAATGGGGGCGAATACACTGCTGATGGATTGAGGGATTGACGGAAAGGGGGCGCCTCAAATGGTCTCATAGAGGACGGGGGCGGACTCCTCTATGAAGACTGTGTCCTTGGAGGTCTGGTTCGTCACCTGTCCTGATCGAGTTACCAATTGATCTGAGAAGAAATTTAATCTGGACAGGGAGTGGCCACAGTCGTATTTAGTGCAAATAGGTGGAGGCGCAAGAAGTGCCAAAGGGAGGAAGGTGAAGTGTAGAGCAACGGTGAAGTGAAGGACGGTGTGGGGTAAGGAGATTACATATTGGTGAGGTTATTAGTGAAAGTGCCATGAAGGTGACTTCGCAGTGTTTCCATTTTATTGGTGAAAGTACGAGCAAGATGGGCGTGAGGAAGTACGCAAGGCGGAGCAGATCGTGCCGTTTCTGAAGCATCAAGGAGGCTCCGAGACCAGCGCGGATGAGGACAGTGAAGACGCCAAGTCGTGTGCCGAAGAGCGGGCTATATACGCTGAGTCCGAAGTCGCCTAATCCTTGGCCGGTTCGAAGGCGTTGGACGTATTTATTTTTGTAGGTGATTTGAGTCCAAAGGAAGAACAGTGTGGAGTAGGCTGCGGCTAATGAGGCGACCTGAGGAGGCAGACACTGACCGATCAACAGACACCCCGCACCGGTCTCAAGCAGCTCGCCTAAGTAGGAGAGTGCCCTCAAGCCCATCCCGTCTTGACTGTAGACGAACAGGTGGACAAATTGACAGATAATTGATACACCAGACATGACAGTAATCAACAGAGACCATATCAGGTCACCGCTTAACATAGCAGACCCTAGACCTAGAGTCCCAAGATGAGGAGCAAGATGCGGTGCGGATTGTATTCCCGGTAACCCGGGTTGTATTCCGGCTTGAACGCCGGCGGTGCTACCAGATAACCCCCCAGTCATGATTGCTCTGGATGATGCTCCGGTAGTGGCTTCTTCCCACTTTAGTCTCTTGTACGACGGAACCAGAATTTTGTATGTAACGAGACCAAACAGACAAACCAGCCAAAAGTAAGTTTCCAACAGCCCAATGTCTTGGCAACTGAAGTGTCGCCGACGATAGGATCCAGGATTCTCAAACGAGATACTATACTCCACATTCGTTATGTTCTTACAACTCGTAATCACAGCATAAACGAAATCCTCCGAATAGCTGTGGGATATCGACATACTGAGGTCGTAAGATGACTGTTTTGATTTTCCCGTCGTTATCAATGGCTCTTTCAAGAAGGCGCTGTTGCCTTGACAGATCTGAGCACCCACCTTGTTCATATCGCCTTGCTCCCGTACGTACAAGTCCGCCCAGTCAGACCTCTTTACCAACAAGAAGTTCTGGTCACCTTCATGCACTATCTACAAAGAGGAGAACTAATGATGTTTAATATTTAAAGTTGTGGCACGCTTCACTGCGGCACTGTTTTTAACAAGAAATAAACGATCAAACATTCACAAGGAGGGGCACGCACTAAAAAGGGAACAAAACAAACAATGATCTGCTGCGCGATCGAGTCAACACTTACAGCGCGTGTTTCAATGGTCCCTGTCTTCCCGTCGGGAATGCTGTAGCAAAATTCGCCCACAGTGGCCACCTGATAGTCATTTGAAAGCCCGAATGTTTTCATGACACACGCGTTTGTATTTTTATTCGGTCAAAAGTTCGAAATCGTAAGGAAAAATTGAACTTGCAAAAATCTAAAATGAAACGTCCAGAGGCTGCAAACGCCCGGCTGACGCCGTCAGGGCTGACGCCGTCAGGGCTGAAGCCGTGAGGGCTTGAGGGCAGTCCAAAGCCCGCTGTTCGCATCTGGCCGTCAACATTAAGCTCTAGTACGCGCAGAAAATCTAATACAGCCAATCCGACTCTGCAGCCAGTCGGCCGCAGAGTCGGTAGCAGGGACCTGGCGTAACGGCGACTGCCGTGACATTGTCCGTCACAGTTGTGCATCCAGCTCGGATCCCCAGGTCGGGTCTGGTCTGGTCTGGGTCGCCTTTAAGTCCAGGACGGGTCTGGTCTGGTCTGGGTCGCCTTTAAGTCCAGGACGGGTCTGGTCTGGTCTGGGTCGCCTTTAAGTCCAGGACGGGTCTGGTCTGGTCTGGGTCGCCTTTAAGTCCAGACCATGCCTTCCGTTTCACCGGTCTGTTTCATTTCCCAAAGGGGCGATAGGGAGCGAAGTTTCTCGACAGCTTCGACGACACGGTCTGCGACGCGGTCAACATCTTCCTGAGTGGTGTTTTTTCCGATACCGAATCGGAGACTGGTATGTGCAAGTTCTTCGTCTACGCCGATGGCGCGAAGGACGTAGGACGGTTCGAGGGAGGCTGATGTGCAGGCAGATCCGCTGGAGACAGCTACATCTTTCATGGCCATGATGAGGCTTTCACCTTCGACACAATCAAATGACAAGTTGCAGTTGCCGGGGTAGCGTGCATTGGTATCTCCGTTGAGAGTGACACCATCCAGTCGGCTGGTGATGCGTTCCTGGAAGCGGCGGGACAGCTCCGTAATGCGTGCGAGGTCTTGGGGCATTTCTTCCTTCAGTATACGCGCGGCGGCTCCCATGCCCACGACCAACGGGACGGGAAGAGTGCCACTACGTATCCCACGTTCCTGACCACCGCCATGAATCTGGGGTGTAAGACGGATGCGTCGTGGCTTGGCTCGTACATACAGGGCCCCGATACCTTTTGGTCCATACATCTTGTGTCCGGAAATGGACATGAGATCGACGTCAAGTTCGTTCACATCAATTGGTATCTTTCCCACGGCCTGTGCTGCGTCCGTGTGTACAAATACGCCATGCTTGCGAGCGATTTGTGCAATCTTTTTGATGGGCTGGATCACGCCAATCTCATTATTAACTATCATCACGCTAATCAAGGCCGTATCCGGTCGAATTGCCGCCTCCAATTCCTTCAAATCAACCAGACCATTTTTGAGCACGGGAAGATAGGTGACGTCCCAGCCACGCACATTCTGCAGATATTGCGCAGTGGCTAGCACACACTTGTGCTCCGTCTGCACTGTTATCAAATGCTTCTTGCCTGTCTGCGGCCCATAAAATTCGGCAATACCCTTCAGCGCCAGATTATTCGACTCTGTTGCGCCAGACGTAAAGATAATTTCGCGAGGCTGCGCACCCACCAACTCAGCCACCTGCTTCCTCGCATCTTCCGCCATTCCTTCCGCCTGCCATCCGAACGCGTGCGTCCGTGAGTGCGCGTTCCCGTACCGCTCCCGCAAACACGGCAGCATTGCCTCCACCACCCGCGGGTCCACCGGAGTAGTCGCCTGGTAGTCCATGTACACCGGCATCTCCGCCTCGTTCCACTTATTCGACTTCAAAAACGCTTCCTCACCAGAAGATGCTTCCACCGCCTCCTTCACCGCCTCCTTCACGCCTGGCGCGTTTAACGGACACGATGCCGCCGCTTCAAGAGACGACGTCACAGACTGACCGGGCACCTCGACGGCACACGACAAAGCGCGCCGAGCCACAACCGAAGACAATGACGCTCCCTTCGCACCCGACAAAGACCACTTGGTCAGCATTTCTCTAATTTTAATTAACCCCGTTGCAAAATCAGATGCCGGATCCGGTCCCACCGGAACGGGAACCACCGGAACGGGAACCGCACAGCACAGTGGTGAAGGGGGGGGTTAAACCGTCAGACTCACCGCTAAATGGCAAAGTACCTTTTCATGAGTGGAGGTGTGTCAATGAGGTAGGCGTGAGTGATGTGACGTTTTGTTTCTGCGGAGAGGAGTTCCACATCATGGTCGGTTTGGCCGTAGCTGCTGGCCGCGTCTGCAATGTTTTTGCGTAGTGCTAGACACCACTTCCAAAAGTTGTTTGACCATGAACGGTCGTGTGTGCTGAGCAATTCACACACACGCACGATCGTGAACGGTGGGTAGGACCGCTGACGAAGGGCTGTGACTAGCAGCCGGCGCTGAAGGAAGAATCCGAGTACGTCGGACTCGAAGACTTCCACCTCCGCCTCCGGCCGCGCACCCGTACCCGACAGCCGGCGAAAGGCCAGGGCGCCCGGGACAGGCAACCTGGGTACAGCCGGCCTGGGCTGAGCTGTCGGTTGTGGGTGCTGTCCCCCTTCCGGCTCCTCTACGCTTTTGTCGACCACCGCTATATCCGCATAGTTTTGCCACCGCTCAGACCCGGGTTCAAATCCCGGCTCTGACCTTGGCTCCGACTCCACCTCCGACCCCTGATCCGATCCTGAGGGCAAGGACCCACGACCCCCAGCAGTTGCCCCGTCGGGTTTCGACTCGTCCAGTTTCGACTTCGGCTCGGCAGTTCGATCCCGCCAGTCGGTAGTTCGATTCCTGCCGTCCGTTTCGCAAGCTTGACGTTTCACGGCGGACACCGGCGTGGTCCATACCGGGTGCGGTGTCGTAGTGCAGCCCTCCAGCAGAACGTAGGCGCAGCGCAGGTGCTCCATGAAGCGTTCGGAGAGGCGTAAAATGAGGGCTAGCGACAGTACGTGCCGCGTCTCGAACCACGAGACCCTCAAATGCGCTGTCGATCGCAACGCAGCTAACAACTGACACACAGACTCGTCCACGGCCTCCTTAATGTCGACCGCACTGCCCTCCGGCTGCCGCCGCTTCCGGGTTCCCATGTCCGTGCCTGGACTCGAACCCGGGTCCGCTGTCCCAGTATCCGGAGCCAAACATTCAATGGGCACCAACTTCGAGTAAATGCATTGCCATTGGCTCACTATGCGCAGCACTTCCACTCCATCCACGGTGCCGCGACTCGGCTCCCCGGCACCCGGTACTTCGTCTCGCCGCCGACTTGGAGGTTCCCCGTTCCCATTCCCGTCCGCTGTTTGGTCCGCTGTTTGGTCCGTTGTTTCGCCGGGCTCGACTTCGGCCGACTCAGCTCCGGCCGACTCGGCTCGCCTGGTACCGATGCACTCACCGGCAGGTCCCTGGTCGCGGTGGAGCGCAGGTATTAGAGGAGCCAAACATTTGTTTCTGTACTCATGACAAAGATGGGTTAGGAGTTCGCGCATTAGAAGCATAAAATCGGCTCTGTTTATTTCATTGATCTCCGGGCTGCCCAGTGACGGGAGCATCCCGCCACACACGTGTGTGCTATCGACACAGGCTCGTGCGGGCCGGGGCCGCTGGTGACTCACAAGGGCCTCACGGTGACGGCGCACGGCCTCCCGCAGGACGCCCCGATCCCGGCAGTTCGACCAAAACTGGCGAAGAGCCAAAGCCTTGGCAGTCGCCCGTAACAACCCTCGGAGGACGCGGAGAGGCCGCCAATAGCGTCAAAACGATAGCTGGCCTCCTCCGGAGCCCGGAGCGGGCGAAGGGTAAGCAGGGAGGTCGAAAGGGTGCAGTCCTGGTCGAATGGGTGGAGTGTTCGTCTCATCACGCTAGGAGGGCCAAGTCACGACGGGGCCAACTCAGGGAGGGGCCAAGTCACGACGGGGCCAACTCAGGGAGGGGCGAAGCCAGGGAGGGGCGAAGCCAGGGAGGGGCGAAGCCAGGGAGGGGCCAAGCCAGGGAGGGGCCAAGCCAGGG